TTTTTAAATAAAATTTTAAGATATAACTAATTTTTTAAAAATTTATTGTTTTTGTTATACAAAGGTGTGATCTGCATGTTACACCTGATCTTTTCGAAATTTTTTAGAGCGGCGACGCTAGACGAAAAAAAATCGATTTACATACCGTTCCTGATAGGGTTCTAAAAAAGGGCTTCCAAAATACTATATATACTATATAATGAAAAAAAGTTAGGATTAGGGTTCGTTTTTAGAACCCTATCTGGTCAAATAAATTTTTTTTTAACTCCGGTATTTGCCGAATAGTATTTTTGCCGACGCTAGGGTAGTTGAAAAATCCCTGACTGCACTAACGCAAACTTACGATTTTGATACACCGGCACCTACCGTACTTTTTTTTTTTTTATACATCTAAACGTTTCCAAAAATTTCTTAATATTAAATACCACGTGGTAATTATATCACAGCAGCGTTAAGGTATATCAAAAAAAGTAAGTGCAGAAGTATCAAAAATGTAAGTTTTGCTAAAAAGCGTTAATTTCTTCCCCCAGATCTTCTGATCACTATCGGATTATAACGGGATAATGTAAGCTGCAGTTGTCGCGGTGCCACATATAATACCAATTTAAGATATGCGATTCATAAAATTGGCTTTCAGTGTAATCTAAAGAACAATAATTCTTAGTGAATAGGGTTAAAAAAAAAAAAACACCAACTTAATAGAAAAATATACGAAACTCTATCTTTAAAAAGAAACGATAAAAAAAAAGACATTTTCGATACGTTAAACATTCACTTTTTTCTACTAAGAGCCTGAACAGGCAGTAAGGATATCTCTCTAATACTAATAAGACTTAAATCTACTCTATAACGATAAGATTATCATTGAAACCGCTTTTATATTGAAGTAATGTTCCTGCAAGTTAATCTAGTCACGTTTATTATTTTTTGTTAATTGATTATAGTTGTTAATTTTTCTTATGTTTGTGCGCGGATTTTACAGCTTTACAACACTTCTCGAGTGCCTTCCCTTTTATTATCCTGGCACTCTAAGATTAACATTGAAACGAACACAAATTAAGATATCACTGGAACTTCACGGGCCTTCAATCGATTTCCCCGTCGTAATTTTTGCTCACTTATGCAAGACGTGTCTAGAAAGATCTTATATAGATCATCAATAGATTTTTATATAGAAACAATTATAACATTAAACCTATCAAGATAATTCTCTCATATAGTAAAATCCCAATCAGATAATTCAATATTTTTCGTATTGTGAGCATCTATTTTTCCATATAACTTACTGAAATTTTAGTTTTTAAATAATGGCAGTTCATCCATTTTCACATACCGCAGCGCTCATCTTCCATCGATCAAAGAAGTTCGTTTTAAAATTAAACAAAAAGTATAATTCTGGCAGTAATAATAGCAGTAATAGTAGCTGTAGTAAAATAAACAAGAATAATCAACAAGATTATGATCCTGATTACCTTTATAAGCGGGGTGAGGCATACCTGTTTGGACGAGCTGGAGAACAAAGAAATGAAAAGAAAGCATTCGAATATTTTCAACGTGCTTCTAAATTAAATCATATAGAAGCTCGGGGGGTCTTGGGCTTTTGTTATGAATTTGGATTAGGTGTTGAAAAAAATTTTAAACAAGCAGAGTTGCATTACATCCCAGCTGCAAAGTCCGGAAATGGCTTGGCTCAGGCTAGGCTCGCGTTTTTAAGAAAATATGGTCGGCCTTGTGTCCGTATTGATCGAGCTGAGGCCGAGATGTGGCAACAAAAAGTTAAAGAGCAAGGTGAAACAGCTATCGCCTGGCTATTTAACGCAGCTTGTAATGAAAATCACGCTGCCGCACAATATTCATTGGGTGTTTGTTATCATGATGGTGTGGGTGTTGATAAAAATGAGTCTGAAGCTTTTAAGTGGTACAAGAAATCTGCTGAACAAGGACATCCACGTGGCCAAGGTATTCTAGGTTTTTGTTACGGAGAAGGGTTTGGCGTCCAGAAAGATGAGGTCGAGGCAATGAAATGGTATCGTAGGGCTGCCGAACAAGGAGAGTCTGTTGCAATATATAATGTTGGTTATTGTTATGAAGATGGAATTGGTGTTGAAAAGGATGTAGAAGAAGCTGTTAAGTGGTATCGATTATCAGCTGAACAAGGAAATGCATTTGCCCAAAATTCTTTGGGTTATTGTTATGAAGATGGAATTGGCGTCGAGCAAGATCCTGTAGAAGCTGCAAAATGGTACCTAAAATCAGCTGAACAGGGTTATCCTTGGGCAGAATGTAATCTTGGGTATTGCTACCAAAATGGCATTGGTGTTCCTAAGGACGACGAGAAAGGAGTCTACTGGTACCGAAAGGCAGCTCTTCAGGGACATGCACGTGCGCAACATAACCTTGGTTTTTGCTATCAAAATGGTATCGGTGTACCTAAGGATGAGACTGAGGCAGTAAATTGGTACACGAAGTCAGCAGAACATGGAAATATCTTTGCTTATCATTCTCTTGGGTATTGCTATCAAAACGGTATTGGTGTCCAAGTTAACGAAATCGAAGCCGTTTATTGGTACATTCTGTCCGCAGAAGAAAACCACGCACCAGCTCAACTAAGTCTTGGTTATTGCTTCAGAAACGGTATTGGTGTAGAAAAGAACGAACAGGAAGCAGTTAAATGGTTCACATATGCAGCTCAACAAGGTAACCCATTAGCACAAAACTCCTTAGGATATTGCTATGAAGAAGGACTAGGTGTCGAAAAGGATGAATCTAAAGCAGTTTATTGGTATGAACTGTCTGCTAAAGCACAAAACCCGTGGGCACAATGCAATTTGGGATTTTGCTATGCTAATGGCATAGGTGTAGAAAAGAACGAATATATAGCAGTTAATTGGTACCGTGAAGCCGCAGCACAAGACCATGCTCGGGCACAAGATAAATTAGGGGTATGCCTACAACTAGGTATTGGATGTGAAAAAGATGAAAAAACTGCATTACATTATTTCCGCATGGCTGCTGAGCAGGATCACCTGGCTGCCATGTACAACTTGGCTAATGCGTTGGAAAAAGGAATTGGATGTGAAGTTGATCTTGAAGGTGCTACGCATTGGTTGGAAAGAGCAGCTAGCTCTGGTTGTAGAAGAAGCTGCGAACGATTAAAAACATTATTAGTGAAGGAATGTTTGGGACAAGAGGCAAGCGGAAATGTTTATTTGACCGGTTATTGCGCAGCGGCAGCATGAATACTAGGGATGGAATCGGCTTAAGCCAGCTCGGCTTAGCTCAAAAGCCAAGCCGAGCCGGCTCGAGCTGATGGCTCAAGCCAGCTCAAGTAAATTGGCTCAAGCCGGCCCAAGTAAGTTAGCTCAAGCCGGCACATTATTTACAGCTGTTTCAAATGATTTTCGGCTGATATAATAAAAGTTATTTTTGTATTATTATTAATGATTGACAGATCGTTATAACAATAATATCAATGCTATCAAATTTTTTTCGGTTGAATGCCTTTATGACATGTCTGATTTGTTTAGTATGTGCATTTTTTGTCAACTAATAAATCTTACAAAGTGGCTCCAAATATAAAATAAAATTTTATAACTTATTACACGAATGTTAAAAAGTTAAAACATATTTTATATCGTTAGTGTTTAACAGTTTTTCTAAGGCGATGGAAGTTTTCCAATATATCCATATAATTGAAAATGCTTAAAAATTCGATTTGTCAATTTTTTTAAACTGATAACCTTCTAATCTTTTGTCATCTAGCAAAGATGTTTGAAAGTATTATATTTCTGTCCTCAACCAAAGATATGCGTACATATTTAGTCCCATAATATCTTATATATACTAGGAAAATAAAGGTCCAAAGAAACGACCTAGCTGCCGCACCAATTTTGATTGACTAACGGCCGTGATCTACAAAATTTTGGCTCGTATTTCCAAAATTTTGGCCGGAATTAACTTTTAACTTTTTCATTCCAAAAATAGAAATTTTTAGAGAAATAGGCCCGTGCAATGGTAAAATTAGCCAAGAAAATTTTTCAATTAATGGCCGACTATGATTTCATTAGAAAAATTTTGAAGAATTTCGGCCCAAATTTTTGATCGTCGCTTTTAGCCAATCAAAATCAAGAATCTGCCATGACAATCGGTCAAGGACCACCAGTCCTCAAATTAGATCGCGGTTCTGAACATTTTAGGTAGCTGTCCCACAAAATGTTTTCCACCCCTTGTAATAACGACCAATCGAATTTCAGGATCAGGTGTA